TGACACGACGCGAATCACGAATATCCTTCAGCATCACCTAAGAAGCAAATAAAATGTAAAAAATGGATAAAAATTGAAGAAAATAAATGGAAAATACGAAACACTTGAACAATAATTGGCAGGTAATGCGAGTGCAATCAGTGCAGCTGTCCAATAAAACCTCAGCCTAGACCGTCAAAGCGATAATTCTGTCAAGCAATTAGCGTTTCGTTAGCAGCATTCCATTATGACGTTCCAACATTTATATTTGGACCCACACCTCACGCCATGTGAAGAGTTCAACCCCAAAACAGTAAATTACATTGAGAATACTTAGGCTGTGGCATTAAAAATGCCTCGGAGATCCCACGTAAGAGCGAGATCTATCTTACCGAACCGCCGATCCGTCTACCGTTCTCATTAGTTTCATGCATTTTTCTAAATAGCTAAGCTATCCACTTTAAAAGCTCCCAAGGTCAGTGATCAAATTGAAGCGGAAGAAAACCACCCCAGAAGTCTGATGCCTCTCCGTGATTTAGCTTCCTAATACCTCCATCTCTCACATCCAACGCTTCATGCCGACTTCACTATATTGAAATGATTCCTTTACACTAGGAAGAGAAACATCCCAGTTCGTAGGTTTTGTGCAGCTTAGCCTAATGATATTGAAAAGAGCAACCAGGATAAAAATTTAAATGCGTGGAGGCAGCAGCATTCATTTTGAAACTCCTACGTTTGAATTCAATGTACATAGCTTATTCACCGTCATGGTTATCGTACGCTTAGGGTCATTAATTAAGTATTTATTTCTCCATGTTTCTCTGAGTTGTTTCAACAGCAAATTGCATAATTTTTCACTCGCCTCCGAGATTGATGCTCCCAATCAAAATCGCCATTTCAAGCAAATTTTTTGGCATAAAACGACTATGAAGTTGAAGATTTGTTAAGGGAGCTGTATAACGCACAATTGCTTCTCAATAGAATGTGATTTTAGCAATTTAAGAAGCAGAGAAGGACCTGAATGGGATGCAATTCCTCTACATCGTATGGAGGCTTCGATCGAGCTCACATTGGAAGGTCCAAAAATATGACGTAAAAAGCCCATCTACCTCACACTCCTGCAAATCAGCTTCTCCAAAACGGAGCTTCAACAGCTCCAGATGTCTCATCTGCGCAGCAGTGTCAAAGTTAAGTTGTCGGAGAAGACGTTGGCCCAAAAGGTTGCGATACTCCACTAGGAAGGACTTCTTGCTTCCATAAATGCCCACGAGGAGACTGAGCAAGTCAATGCGTCGCTTCCACGGCGGTCCGGTATGATGGAGAGCCTCTAAGGGGTCAGGCATCCATCGGTCCCAGTCCTCATTCACTACCAACTTCCCCTCACTTACCTCCTCCTCGCTCGCCACAGCTTCGGCTGAGAAGCACTCATCAGGATCTGGTGAAGGAAATAGGGACAGAAAAGTATGGCTGATGCGTTCTGTAATTGTTTTAACCAACCTAGAATAATTCTGTGCCCCCTAGACGGAAGGGGATGAGTCAGGAGACTTAGACATACAAAACCAACTTTTGAATCCTCGCCAAAGCACCAGATATCAGTTCTTGCTAGCCAGGTATAATGCCAATCTCACCTTTACCCGAACTCACACCAGAGATCTGCCAAGCTTATGGGTTCTGGCATAGTAAGAGAAGCCAAAGCAAGGACGAAGGTCAAGACGTATCAGCTGAGAAGAACGAATGGATCAGCAAACACTGATTTAGGTTTTATGAAGGTTAGTGTAGACAACATATGCACGTCGATT